TGGGCAGGTCTGCAACTACAGAATGTGGTAGAAGATGCTGAGCCTGCCCTGGGCCAGCCCGTTAGAGCACTGGCAGCTCTGGGTGTGCTCTCTTGGAGCTCAGCTGCCACACAAAGTCAGACCACTCTGTTGACAGGACTGCATGAGGGGTGAGGATCTATATGGTGTGGGAGATCTATATGGTGAGCGTTTAGCTGTCTCCACCAAGGTTCCAGGCATGTGAGGGAAGCTGTCTTAGACTCGGAACACCATCATACCCACAACGTAAATTCCACAGGAGACCCCACTCGTGCCACACAGAGCAGAAGACTCAATAGCCAAACCTTTCTGAACACCTGACCCATGTATCTATAAGGTATCATGCAACAGTTGTTTTAAGTCCGTCAATTCACAGGCAACTTGTTACACAGCACAGCTGAATGGGATGATACAAAGGCCCACAATTTAAGGGTCAGCATCACCAACAACCATGGCATCTTGCTGGAACAACTCTCTTTGGAGTATCTGCCTAGCTTCTGTCTTTCCTGAGAGACCCCTCCGCCATATTTCCACCCTCACCCTCTTCCACTCCACCCTGAGCTGTCTGGGTCTGTGAGAGCCAGGTGACCAAGCTGGGCAACCCAGGTGGATCTTCTCCCTGCCAACTCCTGCCTCCAGCCATAGGTATGATAGCAGACACCAACCCCACCTGGGCCACACAGCTCTCTCTCCTAGACAGCAGACCTGGGAATCAGAGCTGCTGACTCTTCTGTGTCCGAGGCTAGAAGCTGTTTAGATATCTATGTGTAGAGAAGAACAGAGAAAGCCAGTGCATAAAGCATAACAGAGGTGGGCAGAAGAATAGAGATAAGGGGCCTGTAAAGAAAAACAATCCTTCCTTCTTATCTATCTGTCTCAGCTGTGAATGGATCTATTTTTTCTTTTTTTTTTGTTTTTTTTGTTTTCAGTTTTTCTCTGGTACTGGGAACCGAACTCAAGACCTTGTGCTTGCCAGGCAGGCGCTTTTGCCTGCTGAGCTAAATCCCCAGCCCCTGGATCTATTTTTTCTGTAACTGGAAAAAAGGGCCTGTGAGATGAGTAAGCACCACTCTAGACACTGAAGAGAAAGCTGCCCAGGCCTGGTAGGTGACAGAAATGTCCTTCTGTTAACCTTCCCCCTGCTAGACAAAGGTGACCTGGAATGTTTTAAGGCCAGCCCATCTCCCGGGGTCCTGTGGGCACCACACAATTGGGAGGCCCAGCACCAAGCCCTTCTTCCTCCAAAATGCCTTCTGGTCCTCGTTCCCCATCCTCAAGGGCAGCCACGCATTGTCTGAGCTAAAATCAGGGACTTTGCTACTCTTTTTCAGCTGACTGCTCACCGAAAGCCCGCCTGTTCTCACTTTGACTCCCCCCCCCACACGGTGACTTCCCTTACCCCCAGTGTCACAGATCTCTTTTGGGACAGACGTGGTCTCACTACTGCTCTGCTTACAGACCTTACATGCATCTACTTCGTCCTGGTCAGCAGGACCAGCGTGACTGGAGTAGAGAGTCTCATTGCAGGATGAGGGTTCTTAAAAAATTCTTTTGGTACCAGGAATAGAACTCAGGACCTTGTGCTTGCCAGGCAGGCATTTATGCCACTGAGCTATATCCCCAGCCCAATAGTCTCACTGCAGACTCTGGCTGCCTCCCATGGCTGATCTCACAAGCGAATCTCCACAAACTCAGCTGATTTTTTTCACCTCTTCCCTCTGGATGGAATATCCATTCCTCTGCCCCTGCCTGCCTAGAAAACTCAAACCAAACCCAAATTCAGACCTGAGTGGTTCTCACTGGCGAACAGTTCTCTAACCTCTACTGGGGGGTTCCTGTGTGGCTAAGCAAAATGCAGCGTATTTTACGGCATAACATCTGCATATGAAGCTGGAAGTAAAGGCCTTTTTGTTACAGAGGAGGAAACTGAGGGTCACAGTAGCTCAGCAACTCTGTGAAGGTCTCACAGCTGGCACAGGGAGGAGCTAGACTGCAGTGCACAGTGGTCAGCCCACCCAGCCCACCAAGCCTGCGCTGTCATCTACTGCACTCTACTTTACCTTGGCCTTACCTTCTCCACTAGGGATGGGCGGGGCGGGGGCGGGGGGTCCACGGTGCCTTCTCCTTCCCAGAGCAGTTACGGCTCAGCATTCATCTCCCTTGTTACATTTCCAGCCTATGTGCTAGAAGGCCAAGCTTTAAGAGCAGGGCAGGGACACAGTCCCTGCTGCATCCTCGCGCACTGGCTAGTGTTTGGCTCAGAATGAGTATTCAGTAAGCAGGGTTGCAGGGTTGGAAGGAAAAACTGCTCTGTGGGGACTAGCAGAGCAGCCTGACCCACGCAGCCTCATGAGACAGCTTCCTCAAAGCTTTCCTGCCACAAAATGAGACCCTGTCTGTGTTAAAGCGTACGAGGTGACCCTTAATGGCCACACTGATTGCAGTCACCCTGCTTTTGTCAGTCTCACAGACAGTGGTACTTAGCTTCTCAGGTCCTGGCATTTTGGATCCCACTTAGCTGGACAAACTCGGGGTTCTGGCCACCACATTTTCTTTAAGCAAATACAACAAAAGTGAAGCAAAGCAGATGACAGGTGGGAGGAGGCAGAAGTGTGCACAAGAGATGAGATACCTCTGAGGGGCGGAAATGGGTGGGGTGGCCCCAAAGGGTAGCAGGGCATGGCCTTCACGCTGTGTCCATCTGGTCCCACACGGACAGCCATGGAGGAAGAACACCCTCTCCATTCAAGAGGCCATATAAAGGCAGGAGGAACACACACACACACACACACACACACATGCTCCTCTCAAAGCCCTCATTGCTCAGCAAAAAGCCTGTCTTTTCAGATTCCGAAGACTGAGCAGGCTTTGTTCTCCACTCATAGACCAGAGGCCCTCTAAGCAGGAAGGAGTTGGAATAGGAGGAAAGAGAGAATAATCTATCTGACAATACAGTATAAATAAACAACAGATTGGCAGATTTAAAAGAAGATGACATTCACTGTTGGCAATTACACAGGAAAATGAACACGTTTTTATGCGGTTAGTGGGAGGGTGAATTGGTATGATCCTTCTAGAGGGCAATTTGCAATATGAAATAAATGATTTGGTGACTCCAGTCCTAGGGCTTCATTCTAAGGACACAATGAAAGATTTGTAAAAATATTTGGTTCCAAGGTTATTCATTGTGGCATTGTCATAAGAAGTGTGCAACCAGGAATGACCTACATTCCAACAACAGGGCATTGTGAAAAGAAACAGCAGATACGCTGCAGCTGAACGATCAGCTTGAAATAGATGTAGGGTGGAAAGATGCTCATGGTATTGTGTTCAGGGAACAAAGGTTTACAAACTGGCAGATATGATGTCCGAAAATCAGAGGAATATAAGTAAACTTATTTTCAAGTAACATACTCAATATATATTTCTTCAAATTGCAGACAACTTTTCAGGCAAAGTAGCTCTAAATTTAAGCAATGGATTCAATTGTTAATCTAAGAAAAATACAGTAAACACATTATTACTACATGTCTCTAGATTTCTTCCTATGAAATGTTTTTATTATACTTTTTCTTCCAGATTAAAAACTGAACTCACTGCTATAGATTTTTTTTTTTTTTGGCCCTTTTTTTTGAGGCAGGGTCTCCCTATGCAGTTCAGGCTGGTCTTGAGTTCACTTTGTAGCCCAGGTTGGTCTTGAACTCACAATGACCCTCCTGCCTCAGCCTCCTGAGTGCTGGGATTACAGGCATGCACCACCACGCCTGGCCTCACTGCTTTAAATTTAGAGGTATTTCATCTAAAATGTATTGCATATACTACTGGGAAATTTAACTAATACACTATTCAAAAAATAAGTAGGTCCTAAATGCCTGGTTTATTTCTATATATCAGATAAAAGGCCAAAAAGGAGACGCTGCAACACACATCATTGCTATTTCTGGTATGTAAACATTTGGGTGTTTTACAACTTTTTCCTTTATTAATACATTATGTTTGATCAATACATGCATATTATTTGGTAATTCCAAAGAAGTTAAATATTTGAGTTTAAGATATCTATCCACAATAACCCCAGAGGTTATTTTTATTTGCATATGAGTTGTAAACACTGGAGAAATGTGGGCTTTGGTGTTAGAAAGTCTCAGCAATGTCCCTGGTGTTGTTTTGGAGCTGGGGACAAAGTGGAAACAAGGCTAGGCAAGCACCCTACTCACCTGAACCATTACTGCCCAGTGGAAGAGACAGACCTTCATCATACAATAACTCTCAGACCAATATATGTGAAAATAAAGGGTCTGAAGCAAAAGGACATCCGAGGTTGGGGAGCACAAGGCAAAAAAGACTGGGTGAAGACACCCTCTGTCCTTGACAGAATGATACTTGAGGCAAGACAAAAGAATGAATAGGCATGCCTTGGTAATGGGGTCAGGGCAATTCTACACCCATGATGGGTCAGCCAGAGTGACCCACATGGGACTGGGAGAGCTTATGCTGAACCTCCTCAGGTACTGCTCTATCTGTAGCCATCCCTGCTGCTCAGTCTTTGGGGCAGAAATTGCTCCTATTCCCATGAAGGGAAAGAAGAAAGAATTACTCTGGAGGTATCTTTCTTACTGTTTATTCAAATAAATGGTAAACCACTTACTGAAGATGTTATCCACCCTCCAGTTTATTTTGAAGTTAAGTTCCCAACACCCTACATCAGGACTGGTGTGACTTCTTAGTGTTAAGTAAGAGAAGAAGAGACTAAGACTTTTGTTCTCACACTTTGTAAAGTAGCCCAAATCCTCAGGCGGTGAATGGCTTCAACAAGAGCCAAGACTCCATTCCTTGCGTGGAGGGGACAATGACCTTCCTTGTACCTGCACTGTGAAGGAAGCTCCGACAAGAAGCTCTTCCAAGTGCTCCCACTCTAGGAGGCAGGAGAGATGGACATCTATGGCGGAAATTCTATGAAGACCTGTGACTGCGACACTCACCTTCCACAGCAGCACTGCTAGCAGCAGGAAGATGAGGATTCCCACCAGCAAACTTATGGCGATGATCCATCCCACAACATAGCCGCGGGGCTCCAGATTGTGCAAGGCCTCGAAGACCACCTAGGAGGCGATGCAAAAGTGAAAACATGAAACCCAAGCCCCAGGTCTGGAAAGGCTGGTAATGACAACAACCCTGATTAAAGTATCCTAAAATATCATACTCTGCCGTACAGAAGGTAAACCCGAGTCATTTGTAGGAAAATGGATACATCGTGTGACCATAATGTTAAGTAAAATAAATCAGACACAGAAGTTTAAATATCACGTGGCTCCTTTTACATGAGAAATTCAAAATATAAAGAGCAAAATAGAAGATAGATAATAGGAAATGGATCTTTTGCAAAAGGGAAAGGGGCCAAGAGATGGAGGAAGACAGGGGGAGAGGATGAAAAAAGAACTAAAAACAACTAAGACACACTAACCAGAGCATCAGGCTGATAGTCTTCATTATAGACTATCTGTTGATTAAATGGATTATTTATGGTCACTTCCCTGGTGACAAGGGGGGAAAATGTGCCCATCTCTATCTTCTTGATCAATTCCCAGAGCTGGCACTGCAGAGTGCGTGTGACACAGGCTGTGGGGTGGTGTGAACAGACATCAACGAGACAGACAAGATACCACAATTTCATGTGCGGATCCCAGACCTAGAGCTTTATGTCACGGGAAACTGTGCACACCAGAAACTACTTTTTTTTTTTTTTTTGTATTTTTGAGACAGGGTCTCACTATGCAATTCAGGCTGGCCTTGAACTCACTTCGTAGCCCAGGCTGGTCTTGAACTCACTTCGTAGCCCAGGCTGATACTGAATTCACAACAATCCTCCTGCCTCAGCCTCTTGGGATTACAGGCCTGCGCCACCACACCCGGCTTAGAAACTACTTATTTGGGACAAATGAGAGAAAATTGCTTTCAAAACACAGTAGATATTTCTGGGACTAGAAATGGAGCTGCTGTGTAGGATAAACTCATTAGGTATGTGACCTTGGACAAGGAAATTTACTTCTCTGAGTCTGTTTTCTTATCTGTGAGACAAGAACAGAACAGTACCTCCCAGGGGATTAATGGGTATAATGAATATAGAGTCCTGCCCACAGCACCGCAGGCACAGACCCCACCCCGACAAAAGAGGTGTGTTCCTGTTAGCATCATGATCATTGATGGGAGTACTTTTTAAAGTTGTGAATGGTTTGTTACATTTTAGTTTTTAAAACTTATTTCTTGAAGTCTAATACATATAGAGGAAAGTTTCTGTCCATACCCTAAGTGTACAGCTCATTGAATTTTCACATACTAAATGTTAAAGATATTTGCATAAGAAAGAACCTCAGACACATTCAGCTGTTTCATCTTCAACAAAGAAGCCAAAAACATTCACTGGAGAAAAGATAGCCTCTTTAGCAAGTGGTGCTGGGAAAACTTGCTCTCCATTTGGAAGAGGATTGAAGCTAGACCCATATCTCCCACGTACTAAAATAAAAATGGATCAAAGATCTAAATATTAAAACAAAGACTAACCTACTCGAAGATAAAACAGGCAAAACTCTTGAATTCATATGTGTAGGCAAAGACTTTCTGAACAGAACCATAATTGTGCATGAAATAACAGCAAGCATCAACAAATGGGACGGTATAAAATTAAAAAGCTTCTTCACAGCAAAGGAAACAAACAACAGAGTGAACAAACAACCTACAGAATGGAAAATTTTTTTCACCTATTCTTTGAACAGAAAACTAATATCTATAACACACAAAGAAGTAAAAAAGTAACCCCCCCAATAAAAGACACAATCAAAATTAAGCAACTGAAATGAATAGACATTTCTCAGAAGAAAAAATACAAATAGCAAATAAATACATGAAAAAAATGTTCAACTTCATTGGCTGTTACAGAAATGCAAATTACAGCAACTTTGAAAGGAGAGCTATCATCAAAAAATCGAATAATAATTGTTGGTATGGTTGTAGTGAAAAATAACCTCTTCTACATTGTTGGTGGAAATGTAAACTAGTATAACTATTATGAAAATCACTATTGATATTTCTTTAAAAACTACAAATAGAAATTCCATTCAATCCAGCTAGTCCCATTCTAGGTGTCTTTCCAAAAGAGTTAAAGACATCAGCTGGGATGGTAGTGCATGTCTGTAATTCCAGCACTTGGGAGAATGAGACAGGAGGATCAACACAAGTTTGAGGCCAGTCTAAACTACATATTGAGTTCAAGCTCAGCTTAAACTACATAGCGAGACCTTATCTGAAAAAATAAACAAACAAGCCATACTACAGCAACACATGCATATCAATGTTTATAGCAGCACAATCCATAATAGCTAAATCTTTGAAGCAACCTATATGTTCATCAACAGAGAGATGGGTAAAGAAAATGTGGTCTATATATAATGGAATACCACTTGGCTATGAAGAAGGATAAATTCAAGACATTTATAGAAAAATGGATGCACCCTGGAAACATGTCAAGTGAAATAAATTGGACACATAGCTTCAATGCCCTATAGTTTCTCTCATTTGAGTAATCCAAAGTAAAAAGAAAGCAAACAGCAAAGTAAAAGGCTCATAAAAAGAAACAAGGAGGTAGGTCTTAGGCATGTGGGAAGGGGACCAAGAGACCAAGGGTTGGGAGAGAGGGAAAAGGAAATTTAAATGATTTTTTAAAATTTTAAATCTTTTATTGAAAAAAGTACACAAAACTACCTATGTGCACAGTCCCAGGTGACACTACAAGCAAGGCTTCTCATGGCTTCTTTGTCTTATAACAGCTTTCCTTCTTTGGCGTAATGGCTTGTCCATTCCAGCAACAGTGCCTCCGCTAACTTGGTGCCTTTTTCCCAGGCTTGTGGTAGATTCACTAACGGCAAACTTGTCACACACAGCTGAACTGAATCTGCGTGGTGCTGGGTGTGGATGGCCCACCTGCGGATTGTGGCCAGCAGCATAAAAGAAGAACTAGAGGGGAGATGGTGTGCTGTTGATTCTCTTGCAGAAGCTTGTCATGCTAGTTCTCCTGAGAAAAACTCAGCTGTTCTCATCATTGGAGGAGGTTGGATCCTCACTGTCGCTGAGGAAAGAAACAAGAAAGAGAACTGCAGCAGTTCTCTTTGAGAAGCTCTGGTACTTATCTTGAGCATTGCTTCCTGGCTCCAGTGCAGATCCCTCAGCTGCCGGCACAGATCCTTCATCCCGCTGGTGCAGACTTTCTAGCTCCCACCACTGACCTTTGGGCCTTCCCAGTGCAGATCTCTGACACAGACTTGCATGAGATATTGCACAAGATACTTCCATGGGATCAGGCCCTCCGCTGGATTCTTTGGGTCTCTAGTGTGTGGACAGATCACTTGCACTCTTCTGCATTTGATTGGTTGGGTGAATATTATAAAATAATCCTATAAATTATGTGTCCTGAATTAAATCTATTCCCTTGCAAATCCTGACTACAACAAGGTTCAAAATACAATCAAATTCTTCTTGTGTAAGGGACTGAATTGAGAGTCTCTGGAGAGCAAAGAGCCATTTTTAAGGGACCACCAGGAGCTTTATGAGCTTCGTGATAGGTTTCAAGCTCAGCCAAAGGGATGAAATGCTACATTATCCAAACAAACTGTACATCCACCATGAACCATTTGGGGTTGTCCCCTTTGCAGGGTGGGTCGTAATGGGGATGTGGTCTGAGTAAGGTTCCTTTACAGTCTTCATAAGCCCCAAGATGAAGGGCTCTTTGCAGTTGCTTGGTAGAAGAAGGCATCATCCTCCAGCACCACTGCACTAAGGAAGTTCTGAGCCTGGTAATTTTGAACACCATCCTGGCATGCTATCTGCTTAAACTGAGCTTTGAGATCCTCAGTGCTGAATTTCACATCTATACCTTCCCCTAGTTGGCTCTCTGGCTCTGACTTCATCAGCCAGTAGTTGTTTAGATTCTTCCCACTGTTTTCTGAGTATGAACTCCTCTGCAGACTGGAGTTCTCCACTTGAGCTGACCTCTCATGTGAGTTTTCAGTTTTGGTGCATTTCCTGATAACCCCTTCTTGTCTCAGTATGTGTCACCCTGTAGCACATGCAACCATCCTTAATGCTTAATAACTTTTGCTGGGATGACAAGCAAGCAGGAGACTCTGGGGCCAGCAGCCCCAGTCAGCGTCTTCTGGGGTCTCCACATGGTCTGTCTGCAGGGGTGAGGTGTGGAGGATTCTGGAATGGACCAGGAGATATGAGAAACAACTCTATTACCCTCTAAACCCGGTGTGGAGCAAGCTGGAGGAGAGTGAGGAAGCCCAGAGGGGCTCAGCCTTGGAAGGACAGACAATGGGTGCTTAACCAAGCTTCTCAAGTCCTTTTCCCCGTGACCTGCGCCATTCCATCTCACACAGCCTGCCCCTAAGCCCTCCCCAGGCCCCGTGCCCCAGCACCTTAAAACAATCTGATGTGTAATATACATGCACCAACTACATTACGGCGTGTCACAAACACGAACTAAAATAATAATACTAATAACAATACTAATAATAATGGAAGGGGATCCAGAGAGGGAGGCGAAAGGAAGGTAGAGAGGCAAAGGTGAATAAAAAGAATCAGTATATGTTAAGTACATGTACCTACTCCCTAAAATGAATATAAACATCATGTACAGCAAATATACAAAAAAAATTGTAGGTTGGGGATGGGAATCTGCGTAACAAGCACCCAGATCAAGAAACAGGATGTGACCAACTCCACAGAAGCTCCCTTCACCCTCTCTTCCAGGCACAACTCCACCGGGGGTGACCATTACCCTGACTTCTAACAGCCTGGGCTAGCATCACCTGCTTTTGTACTTGGTACAAATGGATCCTGTGAGACTTCTGTGTATGGTACTTTCTCTTTATGTTATTATGTTTGGAAGATTTCTGGTAGCATGTCAGTTCTCACTGCTATATCGTAGTCCACTCTGTGAGTATAACATTTTTTTTTTTTTAATCCACACTACTGTTGATGGGCACTGGGGTTATTCCCAGTCTGGGGATATTATAAAGTGATTTTAGGACGAAAGGTATCTTTGAGG